TCAATTCTCTCCCCCTCCTCAGCCAAATAAGAAGGCCAGGGAGGTGGTGGAGTCACTGAGCCTGGGGGTGTTCAAGGAAAGGCTGGATGTTGTGTTGAGGGACATGGTTTAGTGGGAGCTACTGGGAATAGGTGAACGGTTGGACTGGATGATCTTGAAGGTCTTTTCCAACCTTGGTGATTCTATGATTCTATAAGGCTTCCTTACACATCATTCAAAATTCTGTAGAGAAGCATTAAAAAAAAGTCACAGTAGTGTTTAAAGACGATAGATAGAAGAACTAAACACAGTACTTGGAGAAAAATGTAAGGCTTCCTGTAAATTAAACTGAACCTTTTTACATAATAGATCGCTCACAGCTATTTGTAAGGAAGTGACAAAGCTGCCGCAGATCTTAAGATATTATAGCAAGGTTCACAGATGCACTTATGTAAATATTTTCTGACAACTCAGCTGCTACTGAAAACATTTTTGAAGTTATCAAAAAGAATTTAAAGTATTTTCCACTCTAGTCATTAACTATGCATTTGCAAAAAGGCTCCATCAGAACGGATGAGCAAAGGATCTCTGACACAGAAAGCACAAACCAAGGCAGCCTACACTACAACAAGGCCACGTGTTTGGGGATGGGTTTCCCAGTCATCAGGCTGCCAGATACAACCCTTTGCCAATGTAGAAGGCAGTTAATACTATATGTGAGACATCAAGAGTCAGTGCCTGGCCATGCTCATCTTCACCAACCTAAGAATGCTGGGACAGGATGCTGTATCCAAAGCTAACACCTCTTCCTTTGAACACAAAGCAGAAATCCTATACGTCCTGGCAGTGCTCTGTTAGCATAGGCATTGCCATTCAGCTGCAGTTTCCTTTGGTGCCTTTCTCTACAGAAAGTTAAATTGAATATATATACATTTACCATTAAGAATATGTGAAAAAGACATTTATTAAGCACAGACTATACATAGAAAAAATGATGAGCAGCCTATCAATGGCTCACTTCTCTAGCAACCCTCCAGGAATCATTATGTGGACAGACCAGACCCAAAGTTATTAGAGTCTGCAGTTGGGTCTCAGATTCAAGACAAAAAGCATGTGAAGACTTTCCCTACTGGGTATGCTCCAAGATGCCTTAAGCATGAATGATGTCAGATATTACTGCTAAGGTCAGCAGGAATTGACATTGCTAAAAGGAGTTTACTATAGCACCATTTAGATGGTACAATGTCTTGGTGTTTGAGGCTCAGTAGCAGTTGCCTGTTTTTTGCCCAAAGAGCAAATCCTTTGAGAGGCTGGGGCAAAGGACAGACAAACCAACAATGGTACAGGGAAGGGCAGGTGATAGCAAATTGCCAGGAGACCATATCTGAGGTACAAAAGCCTCCTGACAGCCCCTCAACCATATAATTCATCTTCTCACAGCAGCAGAGTGCAGATCTCACTGCAGAACAGATTTTTGGGGCAATCTGCTTTCTGAGTTCAGTATCACGTAGCACTAGGGATGTTCAGACAAGTGTGTAAGACATATTTACAGCACCATCTCCTGACCAAAGTATCCAATTAATTATTAAAAAAAATCATATGTGGCAAAAAGAAAAATACATTTACATATGTGCTTACACACCAGTCCCATACAGAGATTTGAGCAAATGCTTGCTATTCTAATGGAATTGCTTCATGTCTTTCTACTTGGTTCCTTTTAATTGTTATTTGATTTCCCTGTGCAGGTGAGAGAAGTATTTATAATACCATCCAGCGCAGCAGCAGACCAGGCAGGTCACTCCATCCTGGGGAGATGAAACAGATTCTTCCCCTCCAGAGGAAGAGCCACACTTAAAGCCAGGGAATGGTCCGTGCCCAGTGCACTCTCCTGACAATAAAAAGAAGTATAGGAAGTTTAACCCTACAAACACCGCCCCCCCAATAATTTTTCCCTTTATTATCTGAATATGCACATGCAAATTGGAATGCTCTGGCACTACAGCTGTGACACTTATTTTTCTATGAAAGTTCAGGCTATAGAGCTTTAGCAACAAACACTGCAATGGACACTCCTCCAACTCCAAGGAAACCTTGCAGAGCTGGGGTGATGTCTTGATGCTACTGAAGCCCAAAATAAAATTGCAGCGATTTCAGCAAGGCCTGGATTTCACCCTAGTTTTAAAGGCATCTCATTTTTGGCTGGCAAGATTTCAACATTTCAATTCCCAGAAGCTGAACCACAAATCCCTCTTCTCCTCCCACGCAGCTGCTACAGAACTCCCTGAGCTCCTCTAAGGCAGCAGCTGAGCAGCCTTCCTTGGGAAGACACAGGGCTTCGCTTGTAGGAGATCCCCATTTCCCCAGCCCATCTCCCAGTTCCAGAAAGCCAATTTGTAAAAATCTTCAAATTATTAAGAATAGACAAGCCCTGTGGGCTTACCAAGCCCTGACACCCCCCAGGCTCTCCACATTGCTGCCCACAGCCATCCACTCCTTTCTTTTTCCAAATCATATTGAAGGGAGCACAGCCCTGGCACAGGCAGGAGCATTGAGCTATGGCCAAGTCCAGGGCACAGCAAAGGACCACAGGAAGGAAAGGATGAGGTGCAGCAGTCCCATGAAGGCAGAGCTCTAGGATGCAGCTCAGAGCATGACTCTCTCCCAGCACTTGTTTTTAAAGAAAGCAGACATTAAAAACAGATAAAGCAATCACAATGATGGAAAGAGGATAAATCAAGTACTGTCCAGCCAATAATTAGGAACTCTGCTTCTTGGTTTCCCCAGGTGTCTCCCAAATACAGAGCCTGCCCCAACCATCTGGACATCAAACAAGGAAACAAGACAGAAATAGCCTAGCAGAGAGAAAGTAGAATTTAGCAGGGCAAAGAAAAGGATGAACGCAGCCTCAAGAGAAGAAAGCATCACTGTGACTGTGATTGGAAGGAAGAAAAGTCAATAGAGGAGCTTAAAAATATAAATATCTACCCATCATCCTCAGACATTGGCATCCTCAATCATTTCAGGTGCCTTTGACCAAACCTGGCAGTCCCAGCAAAGCAAGCAGTTGACATATCAGGGTGACATGGGCACAGCTCTGCCAGCAGGAGCAACCAAGCCCAAGAAAGCCACGTCATGCTTGGCTTAGTGTGGCTGCAGCATCACACTGGTTAAAGCTGCAGTTGGTTTGTTCAAGAGCCGAGCGCAGCACTGGCTGGCAGGTTGTGGAGCAGTATAAATCTCATTCTGCAGAGCCACGTGCTTTAAGCCCAGTCACCTGACTGGCCATGGAAATACTCCCATGTGCACCAGGCCTTAAGGGATAGCAGACTCTCTGCAGCTCAAACCGATAGAAAAATCAAGATTCCTGGGGCTTTTTTGTTCTGGTCAATCTCATTACTTTTTGCTCACGGTTCTGTAAAGCCTAGAGAAGTTTCAGTGAGAAGTTGGAGCCATTATGTACTAACTACTGTTCCACTCAATAGCAAAAACACAGCCCTTGACCAGAGTACTTGCCTGCCTAGTAGGGGACATTCTGCCAAAGTCACAAAAATCACATACTGAGTCAATTCACACAGAATTACAAAAATGGAAGGGTTGGAAGGGACTTCTGGCTGTCACCTAGTCCTACTAGGTTGTAATCAGAATAAGCCTTCTAGGTTAACCCAGTGGGAAGTAACACACTCCAGCAGGACACTGGTGCTATTTCTTCACCTGCCGTGAGCTCAGTGCAATGCTGTGCCACCTCTAGGCTCCAGCCCCTCATAAGGAGTGTTGGCTGCACATCCTTGCTACATCCTGAGCCACACACTCACACACAAAGGTAAACCAATTTCCTATCCACAGTGAATTTCCCATCCCTGGTGGGATTCCATGCACCCAGCAGTATTGATGTCCAGACAGGGTCAATCAGCATGAATCTGACCACACGTTCCAACCAGCCATGTGAGAGATCCCCACAAAACTTCTTTCAACAAGAACTGCTTCCACATGTTACACATCATAAGGCCCCCATCGCAGCACAGCATTCAGCAGGGAGCTGCCATCTCATCCAACACATAGCAGCACAGCAAAAGTCATCCTGTTTGAGGCAGGAAAGAAAAGAAAAAAAAGTCATCCAAATTGCAAAGCACTTCTAAACAGGGCCCGTGCCACAGCTCCTGGGGTGAGACAGAGCACCAGAGCCCTGTATGAGTCGCAGCTCCCTGTCTGCATGAGCAAGGGTGAAATTCACAGAGCCCATCCTCAGCACCACAACAACCAGCTCTCCTGGGTGCTATTCTCCGAAGGTCACTGCAGCAGCAACAATCCAAGGCCCCACAAGCACTGGGATGTAGCTTTACCTAACCCAGCTCTTTCAGCAGAGGACAGCCCTATCCCTGCAGTCCCATCCACAGAACAGCTCACCCTCAGATTCACACCTCCTACCTTCCCTGCATGGCAGCTGTGCCACTACTAAAGAGGTGATTAGGCCCTCCCTGAGCCCTTTGCAGACTGCTGCCATTGATGTGCCCCACGAATGTATTCTGCTTCATTTGCCAAAAATGTGCAGGAGCTATAAAAGAGGAAGACATTCTTCAATAGCTTCTAAAATGACTTTTGCTCCCTTCCCTAAAATGTTGCAACATAAATTAGGGCAGATATGTGTTGCTAAAGGAAGCTCCTTTGTCCCCGCTATGTTAGAAGAAAGAAATAATTGTTGGCTTTCCATCAGCCAGCAGGAGAAGCGGCTGAAGTGCCATGCCAAAAGGATTAGCACCTCTCTGTGCTTCTTTGTGGACAGCTATGATCTGCTGTTCTCCAAGTCGGTGTTTCTTTATTATGGCACGTATCAAAAGAACACCATTCATTGTTTAGAATATGCTCCTTATTTCACATCAGAAAAGGGAAAATGATAGGAACACAAGGGCTCAAAGTTTGGAAGATGAAAAGGAAAACACAATAAAGACTGAGCTTACGAGACTCTGACATGTCACAGCTGTAAGCACTGAATCATCTCCCTGGTATACCTTGTGAACCACTTCCACTTCAAAAATAAAAATAAAGCGCCAGGTTTCTTTATGTTCTTGACAAAATCTGCAGTGCATGGCATTGAGCTGTGTTGCATTATTTCCCCTACAGGTGACCTGGGAGGGATTTTAGAAAAAAAAAAATCAATTTCTGTTTACCTTTATATGTTTCTTTACAATGGATAAATAAAGTCTGAAGGATCCTTCCCTCCCTCAAAATCTCCTCCTCACTCACTGCTATCAATCTATTTTATTTCTCAGTGGCATTACAAGCACTGGATGCAGTCTCACACCTGTATATGAGCACATCTCCAAGCCTCTGCCAGCAGGTTTCTGGCTAAAAACACCTGCCTTAATATTGAAAATTCCAATGATAATACATTCACTGCATCCCCCAGCAAAGGATTCCAATGTTGAGCACTTCTGATGTGAAAAATGTACCTTTTTGCCTGCACATTCCTATGACAAGGAATTGGGCTACATTATACCATTCTTCACCAGACCAAAGAACATTCTATAATGAAATATCTGCTCCTATGTAAGCAGGTGCAAGCTGCAAGCACCCAACATCTTATTTCGCTCGATCATAAGGTGCCTACCAATGCCTTACCTGCTCACGGCTGCTCCGAGCTTGCTGTAGTGCTCACCAGCACTGCAGCAAAAAGCAATCTAATAATTCCCTATTCTGAATGAATGCTACTGTCTGGCAGCCTTTCCAAGTATTAAGAAGGTGCTAAGACCTCAGTCATTTACCATCAAACTTTGCACCCACACACAAGATCAGGGAGCCAGGAGGGTTTACTCAGTTGGGTGGTAGGCAGGCACACACAGATCCTGAGTCCCCAGTTTTCCCATTGACCGCCATCTGCTGCTCTCTCATTTCTGCTAGAGATAAGCAAGTTACAGCCAATGAAACTTACCAGCTGTCTCTTTTACCATTGGGCTGCACCTTCCTTTGGGATCCGAGCTGTCCACATTCCATGCACTGCTCCCCACGCTGCTGCCTTGCCCAGATGTTCAGCCTCATAGTCCTGACTTACTCCCAGAGATGTCATTGATCAGGTACATCTAAGCCTCCCCAGTTTTGGTTTCAGTATGAATTCATCTCCCTTAATCCAGTTGGCAACAAACAGGGAACCTGTAAGCACAGACACACTTGTCCTCATGCCCTACAAAGCAGAGCTGCAAAGAAGGGCCCAGTGGCCACTGGCTCACTAGCCCAGGGCTGCCCACAAAGCACACAGGAGTCCCGTGGGTGACAGGCTGAAGGGGTTCTGAGAGCCAGAACAAAGCCCATAGCACTAACTATCTAACTGGTAATTACTTTCTGGTGAGGACTGAAAAATGGGTCATTAAAACCATATTAAACCGTTTTCATTAATACAAAAACCTGATTTACATTTTTTTTCCCACAGAGCCATTATGCTCCAAACGCGCTGCACGGATGATTTGTTTAATCACAACCACATGGAATAGCAATTTTAAGGGCCTGTGACAATCACTTTTTTTTAAACCAGGAAACCTGGTTTGCAATAATTGTCATGTTTTCTGTTAGCCACCCTTCCCACTGCTGTCATAAAGCCGCTCCTTTCTACACACGTTGCCTTCCTAGTTGCACATAAAAGCACCACAATCCACTGATACAATTAATAACACTGAATATTTAGGTCAACGCCAGTTCTATTAATTTTATCTCTTAAAGACTCGCACATTTTCTAAACAAGTCTAGCCCTTTGGGGGGTTAAACTGTAATTTGCAGTCTGGTTGTGAGTCCCTATCACATAATAGATCAATTAGGTTGAACACTCTAGTATATTAATCTTATTCACACATAGTAAAGGCAAATATGGCTAATTACTGTATTACAATATTGCCTGCTTTTCCCAAATACGTATTAAGGAAAAGAGGAATTTATTATATTGAACCATCAAATAAAATTATCTTGATATTAAACTGACAGTGAAGATGAATGCTTGTACTAATCCGTTTTATTTTCCCCCTTAAATCAATATCCATTGGAAGATCTGTTTATTGTTACTAATGCATTGGATTTGTAAAAGGAACTTTCATGTCAAGAACTCAGCAGCTCCACTAAAAGCACAGTTTCTCTGTCATGGCATTCCGTGAAACAGAAACACAATTTCTTTTGTCACATCTATCAGCTCTGTATTTGTATTTTCAGGTTATGAATTCATGGGTATGATTTCCATGACTGCAGAGAAAGGTAGGTCGCTATCCAAGCCTATTTTCTGCGCCTCTCCCTGCGAACTTGCATGGCCAGAGGGGTTGTCTCTACAACAGAATTGAACACAGTTTTCAAAACTACCAAGTTGATAGAGACTGGACTGGTCAGTGGAAACAAGGAAAAGTCATGGCTAGCACTAAGTCTCCCCCAGGCAAGCTGAAGTGAGCATCAGTAAGATTTGTCCTTAGCTGGAATCTGCTAATTAGTGAATGCAGACAATTCCATCCGTGGGCTCATAATAAAATGGGACAGAAAAGTACTGCAAGAAGTCACCTAGTCTGCCTCAAGGCACTGCGAGAAAATGAGCTTAAATACAACTACATAACCTAGCAGAGACCTAATTCTGCTCCCTGTTCCATCACTGATCCTCCGTGTGACCAAATCGCTTCCTCTCATTCCCCACCATGGCGATTTCCCCCAGCCCTTCTCATTGAGTTCCCACTCGAGACCCCAGAAGGCAGGAATTCCCCCTCCCGCCTGCATGGCACCTACACAGCGGGGCTCCACGGGAGCCCGTGCTTTAGGCATTGCTGTAGTCAGATGTTACACACTATTAGTAGCAGAGACGGGGCACAAATTAAAAGGATGGCTGTGCTTAGTGCTTCCTTAATGCTTTGCACATTCGGATCTTCCAGCAACAGTTCACAAGCTGTGAATTTGTTAAAGTGGAAACCAGGCCAATAAAAATAAAGACAAAAAATAATCTAAATGCTTTGGCTGCTGCTGCAGAAGTCTTGTATGAAACACCTGACAAGAATGCAGAGATTCATTTGCCTTTGTAACAGACAGTAAACTCAACAAAAGAATGTGTAACTTAAAAAAAAAAAAAAAAAAAAAAAAGAAAAGGTGCTATTTCCTCTACTCTGCTGCAGCATATGGAACAGCTCGGATCCCAGACTCATTCTGCGGGACAGCACTGAAAACAGGTTCTTCAGCAGTGTTTACACTAAGCACCTACGCATCCCAGAAGCCAGGCACTCCGAGACCCACTGCACCACATGGAACATGATGGTGTGCGATTATTTATACAGTTCCAGATCCAGGCACACTCCCACATACAGGAAAGAGGCACAGCCATGGAGGACGCAGGAGCCAAACCGTTGATTTCCTGTCTTTGGCTGACATCACTGGTTTACTATTTGCTATTGGAAACCTCCTCACTTGGAAGCGTTTACCAGACTTCTCGTATCTCTTCCTTGCACGCCTTGAGAAGATAGGCTATTCTCAGGTGATCCACAAAATAAAATATTCCACAATTGATTCTGCTGAGAGCTTACACAGCTGCATGCATTATAAATTATTATTTCTGCCTTGAAAAACATTATTACACAGTCTGAGCCTACATTTGGTCACTTTCACTCACAGCTGGAGCTATTCCCAGCTAAAGCTGCTTCAAACATGTAGCAGATCCTTAAGCAAAGCTCATTTCTAGAGTTGGTCAGGAACAGTTTGGGTTCTTCTTCTCCCACCCACACAGGCCTTCAACATGAAACTGCACAAGTTAATAATACAACGTACATCATATGGAGTCAAAGTTTGAATTACTCATTCTGCAGTGGTAGCACAACCTGCAATAGGGTTACCGTCTTCATAGTGCCAGAAGTTCTAAAGGACACAGACTCACCCCATTCAGAACTGCAGCATTTGAAGCTTCCTGAAGACAGGGAGATTTCTGCCAAAGAATCTCCCAGATGTGAAGGATCATCTCTCGCTTCCCAGAAACACTTCCACTGGGCAACAACCCTCAGAATGGGACAAAATGGCTGAAGGAACTGGAGCTGACCAACCTCCATCCCTGTCCAGGGTGAAGAGAGAAATCAGCTCCGCAAGACTCATATTTTCAGGCAAGAATATGCACTGTCTTCAATAGACAACTGCACTATGGGAACTCCAAAGTCATTCTGCAGCTGCAGGCACTAGGATAGGATTTGATGATGCCACAACCACTAAGAACTAATTTTAGGTTTGTAAGCTTCTGCCTTGTTTGTATTCACTTGCATATATTTCTTTTGCTTGACCCAAGAAGCCCATTTTACAGTAATGAGAGTCAGTGAGCACTGAATTCTAGAACCAGCCAAGTATGACAGCAAGTCCTTGACCCATAACAGCAAGTAGAGGTTTTTGAGCTAGGTGTACCCCTTGGAAACCTAACTACTTTTGGAACTGCAAATACAATATCTTCAAAATGACTCGTCTGTGCTTTTACAATTGAAAACTCGTTGATGAAAAATATCACCTTTGCAGGCCAATTGCTTGTGACTTAGGACCTTCACGTCTCCCCTCCTATTATTATTATTTTTTTCCCTCCAAGGATAAACCAAGAAAGACACAGACATGCGACTTGTTGCTACTGGACATTCAAATGAGCTGTTTTCAGGATTTGCCTTTGTTCTGTAGAAGTTCTGCATTGCGTATTATTTATAAGTATGCAACCAGCCATCAGCACAGCAGGACGTATTTTTAAAGACTCCAGAGGAGTCAAGCATGTCAATAACAAGGAAATCAAAAGAGGATTCATACGGAACACATGAGATCATTTGGAGAGTTTCATAAAGTATTCTATAGAAGAAAAATTAACATTTAAAGGGAAGTTAAACTAACACAAGGATTTGTAAGGAACCGTAAGAGTTAATGCTCTCTCCCTCCATTAAGCACATCAGGAGTGTTCTTTTCCTAATGAGTTAACCTCTTATTATTCAAGTTTAATGGGGACACACTTGTTTAACCCTATAGCCTCAGGAGTCAGAATTTCTGGTGTTAATTATATGACATATACACAGACTTTGCTAGCAGTGTGAAATGGCAGCAACTACTAAACCTTGAAACTTAGAACTTCAGCAAGCCTTGGTCTGCTTCACAGATATACTTGAAAACTGCAATTCCCCACAATTCCAGGACACCCAGACATTGTCCTCAGAGTAGGGCAGCAGGCAGTCAGCTTAGCACATACCTCTTTTCCTACACCTAGTTTGGCCACGTGCAAATTGAACAGGCACGGGGCTGCCAGGAGAGTTCTTCACAACCAGCAGGGCAATGTTGCCTTTCCTGTGTCAGGAAAGGGAAGTGATCCAGACAGATCTCACACCAGTGTAGAAATTCCACCGTGGACTACCAATTTTCACTCAGATGTATGCACAGCACTTGTGCTCTACTAAAACATCCTTACTTGCTTTGTTGTTTGCTTGCTTTGGTGTTTTGTGTTTCTTCTTATTCATGAAATTCTTACTTAGCACCAGGCTTCTCAGGAAGAGCGGGATCCACACCATAACAGGACCTCCAGCAACATTATAGACCTTCAGCAACACCATAGCAGCCATTCCAGGGGATCAGGACCCAATACCTGCCTGAAAAAAGAGCAAGGGCTACTACTGGGGCCTGCATCAGAAGAAAACAGCCCCTCATAAACCTCCTCTGTTACTTTTCACATCTGAAAAGGCGTGGACTTTGTAAACACAAAGATGCTCAGAGCCAGGGTTACCTCAGTTGTCCATTTGTCAGTTTGATGACCACACCAACCCAAAAGAATAAAATACCCATGATAGGTGTATGAATATGTAGAAAACAGCCAGCCATAGCAGTTTTCTCAAAAGTCATTACCAAAATCTGAAGATTTTTGGTTTGGTTAACAAAAAATGGCCTAGTAGTCAGAAGCTGGAGACAGGAACCCATGCAATAAATAGGATTTACCTTCAGTTTCATGATGCAAGACACTGTTTCTTTAAACAGTGGCTGGCCAGCTGTTGTCTTTGGTGGCATCATGGATTCAGCATCTCCTCTCCTTCATTCTCTGCCACATCTCAGATATCCAAAGGAAGGAGGCTATTCGTAGCAAAACAATAGTTAGCAGGAGGCAGAATCTCCACTTCATAATACGATGATCTAAAATGACAGCAGAGGAGGGCAAGTTGCTTCCAAAATGGGAGGTCAGGTTCAATAGCCTCCAGTACACAGTACACAGTACACAGCAGCACATAACTGAGCTCCTCTGGATCAGGGAAGAAGTTGTACTTCGATCTCTGGAAGCCAATCTGCACCCTGCAGTTGTATTCTTCTTTGCCATTTTAGGCTGTAGACAAAAGTCACCCAGGAAAGCCAGCCAGAATAAATTTAGCACTCAAAGTCTGCTTCAATTCCAAGAGATGGAAGGTACACACAAAAGCCCCTTTTAATCAAACCGAAGAGATTAAATTCCTGATTAGATTCCTGGATCTGGAGAAGCAAAATTCCTCCACATCTCTACCAGCATAAGCAAATCAGAGCTACAAGTCTAGAAGCTCCTTCTTGTGACCATCACAAGAAGCTCCTGCAGATCAGCTTGCAGATCGACTTAGCTTGCAGCTAAGTTGATAACCTGCTATATCTGCCCTGCATATTGCAATGAATAAATACACCAGTAATTAATAGCAAGTAAGATGATTTGCACTTCTGTAGGGTTTTCCTCCAAGGAGCTCGTTAATGGTACCCACAGTCTTGCAACAGCCATTATTCTGCCATTGCACCAATACTCCTCTCCATCACACACAGCAGTGAACTGCCACCTCCAAAAGCCCTGGGACAACCCATCAGGAAGCACAGGTTGATGCTGAACATCTGTGCTCAACCCACTGGGCAACACTTCAAGTGAAAAATGCCAATATCACATGGTACCTTCCCAGCCGCCTTAGGAGTAATAATTGTTTAAATCCCAACACTGTGAGAGATGCAGGTTCCTTTCTGCTGTGCAACGCTATAGAAAAGACAAAGATTTTGGGGTAGAGGGCAGAGTCAAGCACCAGAGAAAGTGGTTATTGCTAAATAATGGTACAGCCACGCATGGTTTGTGAACCATGGTTAATTTAATACCCACACATGCTCATTAGAGCTATTCATGCACCCACTGCAATCAGCTTGTTTGCACACTTACCAATGACAACTTTCAGATTATTACTTTAATTAAGAAAGCCCCTTCATTCATTGGGATAGTATTACCAAAACACTTTCTCTACTACTGGAGGAAAACAAGCACTTACTGGAAGACAGCAAGGTAGCGCAGTCACCACGCAGAGTTCATACCTTATGGGTCACTGCATTCAGTTCTTAAGCTATGTCCTATCAGGAGCCCTGCAGGATCGTTCTGGCAGGCTCTGGTGCTCCGAATATCTCCTGGGTACCCTATGCAGTGCATCACAGAAACAGTGACACTCAGGTGTCCGTGTGGTGCCTCTGTGGTTACTGTCCCAACCCATGGCAAGAGCCACCAGTGCTCCACATCAGCCAGTGCTGCTCACTCAGGCCCACGTAACCACCGCAGCACCAACCCACTGTTGATTCACCTGTAAATGAAAGCTTAATTCGAGTTGCCCTGCTTTTAATCACAGTAATTCCTTGCACATCTTGTTAGACACCAAGCTCACAACAAAACTGCTTGCAAGTTGGGCTAGATGACCTTTCCTATTACAGAGGAGTTGGACTAGGAGACCTTTTTGGGTTCCCTTCCAACTCAATCCTGTGATTCAAAGTTATCATCTGATCATCTTCAGTTTAGGCTGGAGCAGCATTCAGCTGCAAACGAGGAGCTGATTAACAACTGGTTAATTCCACCAGCAGTTCGTAACATCCTCAAGTGCTCTCTCTATGGCATATGTGCCATTATTTCCCAGGAGGGGATTTTAACATTGTTACCATTTTATAGAGCTAAAAAGGCTGCGTTAATAAAATACATAATTGAAATTCACCCCTCTTTTCACACAAAGAAGCTAAGAAACTTTTGTACTGTCTGTCCTAAATATCTTTTGTATCCTACAGTTATAGCAGTTCCCCCAAACAAGTTTCAAGCTGACACATAAATCAGTGTATTTCTTTACTGGCTATTTCTGTACAAGCAGACAAGTTAATCTAGGTTATGGCATCTGACTACAAAGTACCCTACAGATTGCTTTCATACATTTGCCAAATTCTTTCCAAAATGCTGCATGGAAGAAGTAATAGATAAAGAAATTAAACTCTGAAAAAAAAGAAAACACTATGAAATAATATTTGTCTGTATTTTTTTCCAGCTGACCAGTACTCCCGTGTTTTTTTTCCCATGTATAGTTCCAATTTTCCAGTATAAATCTCAAAATGCACTTTTTTTTTTTTCCAGATTAAAGCCTCTGTTAGTGACAGAAAGGAGGCTCTCTCCCACCCTCAGCAGACACTGCAATAACAAGCTGTTGAAAGAAGGAACCTAAAATGAACTGCTCTGAGAGACGGCACTCAGCACTGAGCAGGCGCTGCACAGTCTGGGTATGGGGAGGAGTGCTCCAGCCAGCCACCACTGTCTCTTCAGCCCGATTTTCCTCTATATTATCCAAGGATCATGCTATAAACTGAAATCCAGATGAAATTAACCCGCCAGCTCCATCTTCTCTACAGATTGGTGCTCATCTTTAATGCTGACATGAAGGTCACTGAACTACCTGGGCAAGTTGATCTCTGCTGCACCGAACCATGAGAGCACAGACTCAGCCAAAGGTGCTGAGATCAGCCAGGTCTGCTTTTTAGAGCCAGATCTGTCTTCAGGAAGCAGCCTAGACCTCTTAGCTCTTGCCCAGAACCCACATAGATACTCAAAGCTCTTCTCACATCAAAGCTCTAAGCATCCATTCCTAGGATTGTCATGACCAAGTCACGGCCAAAAGACCAGGAGTCTTTTGACAGGAAAATCCTGCAGGGTTTCACTAACGCATAGAAAATAGATCATGATATATAATTTTGGTACCATGGCTTGGACAAGGTGAAGAAAACCGGTCTGGTGGACAGAACAGAACAAGTACAACCCACATTCCGCAAAAGAATGGCTTCCACTGATCCAGCCTGCCCCTCTCAGTGCCAATGGGAACTCTGCCATCAGCTCCAATGGGATTAGTGCTCAGCTCTAGATAACTAGCTGAAGTGGAAACCACAGCACATGCATTGCAACTGAAGCCTCTGGAGCTGCAAGGCAAAAATAGAAAGCTTTGAGCCAAGTCCTTTCTCCTGTACTCATCCTTCCTTCACCTCAAGCAAGCAAAATCCCAGCCACAGAAACAACCCGCTTGCTGCCTAGTAGATTCTTGGTAATTGATGCTGGATTCCCGAGATTTACTAGCCATGTTTAGATGTAAACAGAGATCAGTCTCCAGGCAGGATCTCAAGATTGCAAGGGGCAGACCAAGCAAGGCAGTTTGGCACTGATGCCCCCAACACAAAGATAAACTCAGAGGAGCACAGCAGTGCTGACACAGCACTGGCACCAACGCCAAGTGCAGCAGCAAAGCTAAGACCCAACGAGCCTGCCCAGCATCAGAAGGGTTAGATGCTGCCGGCACTCGCAGTGTCCCAGATGTCAGAGCAGATCAGCGCAGGGGTAGCAAGGGTGCAGCGACCCTGGGTAGGGCTGGGTAACAATGCAGGGCACAGACAGAGCAGGGGCTGGTCATTAAAGCTTGAATAGGCAGAAAGGAAAAGGAATCTCCTAATCATTTCCTTTAGCCATCTCAGCTCCCCTCCCATCCCTTCCTCCCCCCTCCCGGCCTTTTGAAGATGCTTGCTAATAAGTGTTAACGAGTTGCCTGACAAAGGAGGAGGAGGGGGAGGGGGAAAACACTGGGGAGGAAATAAAGGAACCAGACAGAGGTCTGGGAATACCATGTTGGATTCTGGATGTAAAGGATTCCTAGGACAGGACTCCCAGCTCCAGCAGGCCCATTTCAAGAGCTGACCTCACTTGCTACTTTTTTTATGTTCGTTGGAGTTTTTTTTTTTTTGCACACCACATCTCCTTTCCCTTCTTCCAGTCCACCTGGGATGTGCCTGCAGCCCACACACGCCAGCTCACCATTGCACCAATGTCGCTTCCTTCTTCAGTTTCACCACTTGTTTTCTCCCTCTTCCTTTCAAACCTCTCTGATGCGGGCCAGGACACAGCTGCACACACTAAAACACCCTGTGCTGCCCTGTGCACCCTGTCCTTTCTAGCAGCCCCAAGAACATGACACTCCCACAGCCAGGCAAACACAAAACACTCTGCATTTTCCAATCACCTCTTACAGCAGCTGCTCCTCCCATTCTGAACGATTCACCATCTTAGCCAACTTTGCCTCATACAAACGACACCAAAATGCTGGTGTTTCAGTACCCCACAGCACTTACCATTTGCATGGAAGGACTGCAGCTCCCACCTGAGCTTTCTTCTGGGTGCTGCTGTTCCCCTGCCCCACTGGGAATTGTTCATTCAGTATTCCTCATCGTTTTTGCACTGAACCAGCAGCTACAGAAGGTTGTGAGACAACAGAAAATAAGACCCAGCATCCTCCCCCGTGAGAGTTTATCCCACACAGGTTCTCTTACAGCTCCATGGGGATGGCTGCATCAACTCAGCTGAACGGCCTGCCTTCTTCAGAGGAAACAGCAGCACTAGCCACAGGGCCTAGGGACCACAGCCACCTCACTATCACATTAAAGACAGGAGCATTTAATTGCAGAGTACAAAATGCAGGACTCTAGTAGAGAGCACAAAGAATGGTGTGTCTCAGCCTAGCCCTATCTTGCATCCAAAGCCATCAAGCAGTAATACTGCCTTCATGCTAACACAGTCATATACACAACCCCCACTCCCAAAGCAACCAGCTCATCGATCCCAGCTGGCCCAAATCAGCCCCTCTCCCACCTGCAGCACTGGGTGCTAAGGGGCTGATTAATTCCTTCCCTGCCAGACACTGGAGGTTTGGACCATCCTGTGGCAGCCCTTATCTGCACTTCCTTTTCCCAACACTTCTAAAATCTAAAAAAAAACCAACCCTGTTCCTCTTCTTGACACAAACGCATTAAATGACCCTGTCTACAGAACAAGGTCATCTGGGCGCTCTCTCTATTTGGCATTGTCCTCATTTATATTCCTAAAAGCAAAATTGAGCTTCCAAACACAAATCTGGTTCAGCGTTAAATCTCAGCCCTGAGGAACTTCCCACAACCATCTCTGCTGACTACAGCCCTCTCACAGCTTCTTGGTGCCAGCAGGAACAAGGCAAAGCTGTAATGCCATTAGGAGATATTTTGTTGTCAGCTGAACCAACTTCATCAGAGTTACACAGCAAATGAATTTGACCCATAATTTTGTTTCTCACAAAGTACAGCTGAGGCCCTCAACATATGGATCTTTCTTAAGGAAGTGATTTTCTGAGAACAATAGTGAACTTGAAGAGACTGACAATGCCTTTGCAGTGGTTTGGCTATAGTAAAAGAAGGTTATCAAGTCGTCCCAGGGAAAAAATGTGAACTCTAAACTAGACATTCAAATTTTGAATTGCCAGAAAACCATCAATTTAGTATCTAATCAAATCGTTGTGTTTTTGCTCATTCATGTTCAATTCATCAAGAAAAGTGGCTCATTAATTGAAAGAACTAGGCATAAAGCTTATATATCAACTACTCTGTTTTACTGCCAAAGCCTACTGTATTATACTTCAGTTTTATGTGTGTTATAATAAAAAGCATGTGTGAATTCTCATATTTTAAAACAGTTGTGCATTCGTGTGGTTTGAGTTAATGCTTTTGAAAACACAGTCTCCACACGATGCTATCTGAAAATAGAATCTGCCTGCGACCAAACTTTTAACTCTTGAGATCTGGTCTAATAGCACTGTAAGATTAGGAAAAAAAAGAAAGAAATTCATTTTTGGCAAAGGGAATTTTGTCATGCGCTCATAAAATGGTTTTAAAAAGTTAAACTTTGAAGAGGCAAAATAAAGGTGTTAAAGGCACCGATTCACTGCAGTGCAAAGCAGTTCCACCTCCACTACAGTGGAGAAATGGGCAAAATGTGGCTGTTCCAATCAGGTTGAAAGGCCAGAGTGAGTACATGAGAATTTAACTCCCAATAGAAGAAAAAGAAAAGATCAGCCCAGGTACAGGTTAACACTGCTGTACAATTGCATGTCAGTGCTGTGTACTGGGAAACTGATAATGCACTGTTGGCAAATGGCAGAATGAATCTCTGTATTCGTCATGCGTTATGAAGTCTGCACTTGCAATAGCATTGGAAACCAAACATTTGTTTCCATTTTACTAGTCTGTTTATTGACAGTAAATATCAGCAGCTGAGATATGAATAATATCCAGTTTGTATTCCTCAGGACATCATCAGAGCGTACAGCTTTCTGCAAATGATAAGATGAAGGTGAATGAAGCCCTAAATACTTGTGCAGCGTCACATTCACATTACTTACGTGCTGAAGAATGGTACCTATATCAGATGATGGCTATGTTTTTAACCACTCAGATCCCAATGTTTTTCAGACTAGCTCTGTGTACTTCAAGGACGTGCTGAGCCAAGAAGCAGAATGTTTACAATGCATGGTGACTGTCATAAAAATAGAAGTGATGTATCATCTTCATTTGCTTCCCTCCTAACAGGTGCTACCATCTCTAGCCTCCACCAAAGGTCAAATGCAGTTTAGAAGTCCTGAGCTCTATTATGCTAACAGACATCAATGCAAATCTTTTTTCTTTTCTTTTTTTTTTCTGCTGAGGAAGAATTCTGTTTAACAATCACTGTCATAACATGGGCTATTGTTAGAACAAATGACCTAGTCCATTAATTACACAGCTATCTTTCCATCAGCTAGAAAAAGACAACCCCAATTACATACACATACTGAGTAACTTGTTGTTGCAGAATGGCCAAAATAAATGGTGATGTAAACCAGTGGTGTAATCCTCTCCTGAAATTCAACCAGGATGCTTTGGGCCCATTTGTCCAAGGAAGTCAACAGTCTTCTTGGGTGACTGATTTTCATTGACAACTCCTAAGTAGCTGTCATATTGTGAAGCCACTCACCCTGCCCTCCAGGAACAAAAAGTCTGCTTGAATTAGTAGTTAGGTCCAGGTAGCAGGAACCTGACTCTGCTGCCCTCCCACCCTGCAGTGCAGAACCAGTGCCAAATCACTGTCCTGATGAGCTGGTGTGGTTGTAACACCCAGGCACTGTCATCATGGATGTCCTTGAGTCAGGTCCCTGCTTCTCATCTCTCTCTGTGTAAAAAAGGCTCTGCAGTTAAGGACCAGAACTCAGAGCTTTCCCTTCCCAGCAAATACACCTGAACTTCTGCGTCCACGTTGCATTGTACACTGAGGCTCCAGAAGTATTTAGAGGTATTAAATTAATGATCTTCTCAGCAAACCAGCCATCACTTGGTAAAAGAAACTCCAGTCTCTGGTGACACTGTGCCATGTCTTCAGTGTGCTTCAAGTCAAAATGACTTGAATGAATCAAAATGACACTCAGACATACAAAACACATTCATCTGCTGGATATTTCTGGGCGGTCCCAAAAGGAACAGCTAGACCATACATTCTTCTTCTTGTCTTCTTGTTTCTGTTCAGCTTCATTATTCCATCCAGAAAGCTGCTAAAAAAAAAAAAAAAAAAAAAAAAAAAAAAAAACCTACAAGATTTCATACAGAAAGAACAGCACAGATTGGATTACAATCACTAGAAGAAAAAGGACCTCATGAAAAATCAGTACCTTGTGACAAGATATGAGAACTCCAGCAAAGCCTGGAAACTCCACTGTCACGTCTGGTTACCTCTGCTGCATAGCTGGTCCCACCAGGAGTGTTTCCCTTTTGTGCAAATGGGAGCTCCTCAATCTGATCTAACCGAGGGACCAGCACTCCAGGCATTCAGAACAACAGAAGAACGTTATCAGTGGTGTATCTGCAGGAAGGGGCACAGACAGACACGCTTCTCCTGCCTCTCACAGAAGGTTTTCAGTTGAGACTCAATGCTAAGCTAACTCCTCCTGACCAAGGCTTTTTTTTTAACCAGCTCAGAATAGGTGTGATGCAGCCAGCAGCATGAAGACTTCGGTCCATCTCAGATCTGCATTTCTGAGACTGATGGTTCCAAAGTGGCAACGGTGAAGCAGTACCATCACCCAGTGGTATCTATCCGGGCTGGGTACAAACTCACATGAGAAAAACATGTTATGGAATGTATCTGGTGGCTCTGATGTTGCTTCCCCTTGCAATCCCTGGTAAAATTCTGCTCTCATTGTTTGTTGTTAACAACTATGATACAAATTATTTGCAGGCGTGTATTTCAACCAACCCATTCCATTCTGGGAGGATTCACAGAGCACCACATGGAGTGAGTTTGAAAACCTTTATCATAGCACACTGCCTCTGGCCAGGGCAGGACACACAAGCTCCATTAAATACCTGTTTTTGTCTTTGGTTAATGTCTATTCAGCAAAGCAGCAGCCATCAGGAAGATTTAAGCATACACACAGCAATAAGTGTACATCTAAGAGCTTTCCTGAATTCGTGTCCCTCACAGCCTTGTGATGATCATGTATGTATCTTCGCAGAAACAAAATGTTAATGAGTATTCATCAGAATCCTTTTTGCTTCACATTAAAAATACTCTTTGTGCAAGTGTTCCCAGGAGAACAAGGAAGAGAGGATGGAGATTTCACAGCTCTCTGAAGGCTTTTATACAGCATTCATCCTATTTTGTGCAACTCAATAGTGGCTTTTGCTTTAACCACAAGTATACGTCACCAGTACCACTACCCCCTAAAAAGGCAGATATGAATTCACACTAAAAATGACAGCAACGAGACAGACTTGGCTGAGTATCATGTAAAAGAGGGACAGAAAAGACTGAGCGAAGGTCGTAAAAGAGAAATGGTGGAATTAAAAGGATTATAAGCACAGAAAAATAGCAAAAAGCCAAATCCATCTTAAATAAACCCAGTGACAATGTCAGACAGAGTACTTTGGGGCGGGGGCTGGCTGGAAGAGGCTTTGGGAACAGAAAGTGGCTGGACATTTTGCTCAGTGCGGTGTCCAGGAACTGGTGCATCCTCTTGGTTAAGATGTAAAATAACATCAAGGTCCTTTCTGTTTCCCCTCTTGGAAGCAAACAATCTGCATGCCCCACATTTTGATTAACCGCCTCCTCCAAAAGCAGCGACGCTACAGTGCAGGCAGCCAGAGAAGCTGCTTTTCTCAGGGATCACAAGTGATATTTTGGCTGAAGTCTAATGACACTGAGGCCAAAGGGGATCTCTCTGGAGCTCAGGTTCATGCTCACGCTTTAACTGGTTTCAACACAAACCCAGGGCCATATGTTGTCCTTGACTCCAGAGTGTCACGTTTTACTGGACAGTCAGTGCTGTGACATCATCCCCTGTTGCTCAGCCACATCTGGGGATGTTCAGATCCCCACAGACATTTGGGTCCCATAAACAGCCAGCCTGTTTGTCAGCACCGGCTGGGGGATTCTCTAGGAATGCCCTCCACCATTTTGTCCATGACAGTGTGCACACCTTTCAACAGAGAGAAACTTCAATGAATGCCTCCCTGCTAAATCCTCTGTAACCCAATGAAATGATACGAACCCAAAGAGCACACACTTCCCCAAATATTCCAAGGGCTTTGCACTATCTCTTGACAGGCATTAAAAATAGAAACGTTTGAGGGACAGACTGAAAGCCATGCTCTGGGTCACTGTTTCACAAATGCAATGCTG